ATTTACAATTTTGGTAAAGGCACTCTTGCTCATCATAACTATGCACTTAGTTAGTTTATTTAATATCCAAGAGCAGAGAAGAAGATTTTCAAAGAATTCATGTAATTTCACTATTATAATCTATAGAGCCCCCCCCCCCCCCACCTACACCGGAACCCCTAATCCTGGGGCCATAAAATTCACAATTTTGGTAGAGGCAATCTTGCTCATCATAACTATTTACTTAGTTAGTTAATTTAATACCCAGGAGCAGAGAAGAAGATTTTCAAAGAATTCATGAATTTTCACTATATAATCTAAGGAGCTCCACCCCTACACCAGAACCCCTAATCCTGGGGCCATAAAATTCACAATTTTGGTAGAGGCAATCTTGCTCATGACATCATAACTTTGCACTTAGTTAGTTTATTTAATATCAAGAAGCAGAGAAGAAGATTTTCAAAGAATTCATGTAATTTCACTATATAATCTATAGAGCCCCCCCCCCCCTACACAAGAACCCCTGACCCTGGGGCCATAAAATTCACAATTTTGGTAGAGGCACTCTTGCTCATCATAACTATGTACTTAGTAGGTTTATTTAATACCCAGCACCAGAAAAGAAGATTTTCAAAGAAATAATGCATTTTCACTATATACTTATTTGGCCCCGCCCTAGCACTAGAACCCATGACCCCGGGGCCATGAATTTCACAAATTTTGGTAGAGGACTCAATGCTGATTACAATCATGCAAACAGTTTGACTGCCATATGTCCAGGAGTAAAGAAGAAGATTTTTAAAGATTGCACTAATTTTAGTGGTTTTTGCCCCACCCCCCAGGCCCCAGGGGGGCAGGGACCATGAAATTCACAATTTTTGTTCCCCTTTACCCATAGATGCTATATGCCAAATTTGGTTGAAATAGGGTCTGTGGTTTAAGAGGAGAAGCTGAAAATGTTCAAATGTTAACGCACGACGAACGACAAACGACGGACGACGAACGACGATGGACGAAAAGTGATAGCAATAGGTCACCTGAGTTTACTCAGGTGACCTAAAATATAGGTCAGATCCAGCATCCGAAGCAAGTCTGGTAGTGTCCATCCCTAGATGCATCATCCATGCAAGTTTGGTTCAGGTAGGGCTTATAGTTACTTGGGAATGAAAATATAGGTCAGATCCAGCAACCGAAGCAAGTCTGGTAGTGTTCATCCCTAGATGCATCATCCATGAAAGTTTGGTTCAGGTAGGACTTATAGTTACTTGGGAATGAAAATATAGGTCAGATCCAGCATCTGAAGCAAGTCTAGTAGTGTCCATCCCTAGATGCATCATCCATGCAAGTTTGGTCCAAGTAGGGCTTACAGTTCCTTAGGAATGGACCTGCTCTAAAAACTTTAACCTGGTCACTCATCTGGAAAATGTAGGTCACATCCAGCATCCGAAGCAAGTCTGGTAGTGTCCATCCCTAGATGCATCATCCATGCAAGTCTGGTCCAAGTAGGGCTTATAGTTCCTTAGGAATGGACCTGCTCTAAAAACTTTAACCTGATCACTCATCTGGAAAATGTAGGTCAGATCCAGCATCCGAAGCAAGTCTGGTAGTGTCCATCCCTAGATGCATCATCCATGCAAGTCTGGTCCAAGTAGGGCTTATAGTTACTTAGGAATGGACCTGCTCCAAAAACTTTAACCTGGTCACTCGTCTGGAAAATGTCAGTCAGATCCAGCATCCGAAGCAAGTGTGGTAGTGTCCATCCTTAGATGAACCATAGCTCTCATCAATATCTATCAGCATATGAAGTTTGACGAAAATATCTTGGATAGTTTCTTTGAAACTTAGCTTTGAACAGAGCTAAACACAAAGTGTGACGGAAGACGGAAGGACGGAAGGACAGAAGGACAGAAGGACGGAAGGACGGAAGGACGGAAGGACGGAAGACGGACATGACAAACACTATATGCCCCGGCCATATTCATGGCGGGGCATAAAAATAAACATTCAAAGAAATTTACCAGTCCTGGCATGCCTGAGTAACGTTTCTGTGAAAAAAGGGTGCTTGCTTTTATAGGTCATGATTAGTACAGTTCATTACAAAATGTGTTTAAAAAAAAATACAGTCAACTCTTATTATCTCAAACTTGATAGGATCCACAAAAAATTCTAGATATCAGAGTATGTGAGATATCAGAAGGTAAAAAAGTTAAAATTATTAAGTTATTGAGACTTCCAAATCACTTTGACGTTATATCCATGGTATTCAAGATATCAATTTTTGAGATATCAAAGTTCAACTGTATTTTTAAAAGTGATGTGACAGATCCCTGTAGAAAAACAACTCACTAAATTCATCTCAAAGTATTGAAAAAAGATTAATATTTTCTTCAATGGTGTGAGATATAAAATACATCATCAAAACCATTTACCCCTGAAGCCAAGTGTTGCAGTTGTAAAAATAGAGATGAACAAGAATTTTGGTGAATTTTAATATTAAAGAGTTTTGGTGCACATAAATCAAAAAATAAACTACCACACTCATCAAACTTAAACCCAAAATCAGCTATCTTTTTAGATCACATTAAGCAAACATATTTCATGATTTTCTAATGTTAATGTAAAATCAACCATCCTCCATTTTTGTTTTTAAAAATTTAAAATCTTGATGATGGTCAAAGGTTGTTACCTTGGACTCCACATCCAGCATGGTTTTAGTAGTGACATTGTCACTCATGGCCTGTGTCATCTGCTGGAGGTGTTGGGAGATCATGGCGGATATACTGGGCCCTTCTTCTTCTTCATCCTCTGGGAAGTATCGCCCTGTTGGTAAAAATTTAATGAGTAATTTTAATAATCAATGCATATAATCACTTTCTTTACACTGTTGGATTTTAGTGCTATCAAAAAATATCAAAAACATTGATATGACATAAACTTGCAACATTTCTGTTTATCCTTTCTGAAGCTTATTAAGACTTAAAAAATTTATTTTTTTCTTCGCATGACTTCATGTATAATTTTCAAGTCACTTACAATTAGTATAGCTTAATTTATACAGATTGAAGAACAGTTGCTATTTTATCCCACCTGAAGAAACTTTTATATCTTAAGCGCTGCCAGACTTAAACAGTAACCTCACGTTTTCATTTTTTTCTTCCATATTATAATTCTATACGTTTGAAATGTAACTTAATTAAGTAGGAAAGACAGACATTGTAAAAAATTCCTTGCAGTCTATTTATGAGGACAAGCCAAACAACATTATCAATCTTCGCCAAATTTTTTTTTCAGCACATGCCCTTCGGGCAGGTGTGATCCCCAATTACGCAAGCCTGAACAAATATTTACATGCCAAGAATTTTATCAAGTTATAATATTATTCTTATTTGCCTATTCATGCCAAGGAAATGACCTGGAATCCATTTGTCTCGCCATATGTTTTCAACCTGTACACTTTTTGTGTCTCCTTTGCAGAAGAGTTCCTTGAAAATCGCAGTAAAATAAGATTTTGGTTAAAAAATAAGATTTCCATTAAATTTTATTTTGAACTTTACTTTAGATGGAAAATAAAAGACTTTAAAGTACATTTAATGTTATTGGTATTATTTAATTTTATTATACCAAGGTTTATGCCTTAGAATTTACATGCCCTTCGGGCTTGTAAGTGTGCAACTTCCACATGCCCACTTCCAAGTTTACAATGTCCCGGGCATCGGACTCCAGGGATTTTTCGAAGACTGCATTATACATTTTTATATATAATAAAAGACACATAATGATTATTACTAACTCAGCACTCCCAGTTCGTTTTCGTTGAGCCCCTTGTTGTTGTTGACGGACTCGAACACGTCGTCGCCGTTGTCGGCGGGGGCGGGCGTTTTCTCCAGCTCCTCGATCTCGGAAATGTTGTCCTCCTGGTTCTCCTCGTCCTCTTTGATCGCCCTCAGTCCGCTCCTCTCAGGCGACGGAATCGCGATCGTCCCCGGCAGTCCTTGGTTGCCATCGTCGTCATCATCATATTCCACTATGTGAAAAAACAAAGAAAAATAATATAATTTCATAAATATTCTGCTTGTTATAATTGTTTCTTAGATTTAAAGAATTTTTTTTTCTTATTCAAAATTTCAGGCTAAGAGTTTTCATATTAATTCCTTTATTTTATTTTTCATACTTAGTTTTCATCAGCTTTATTTTCTCAAGTACATTTTTCTTTTTGCATAACTGGTAGTTTCAGTACAAATGGTAATTATACACTTGTTTTCTTTTATATAGGTAATTTCAATACAATGATACTTTATTTGTTGGTTTGGCTATCGATCAAAATTTCAGTACTATCATTACTTACATTTGTTGGCTACTTTCAATACTATCAGTACTTACATTTGTTGGTTTATTTCAGTACTATCAGTACTTACATTTGTTGGTTTATTTCAGTACTATCAGTACTTACATTTGTTGGCTACTTTCAATACTATCAGTACCCATACCGAAAAAAGTTATAACTAAGTTATAACTAAAGTATAACTTAGTTATACCTAGCCTGTGAGGTACAAAAAAGTTATAACTAAAATGTAACTTTTTTGGACTTTGTCATTTTCATGTATAACTAAAATGTAACTTTTTGGACTTAGCCATTTTCACGTGTAAGTAAAACATAACTTTTCTGGACTTTGTCATTTTCATGTATAACTAAAATGTAACTTTTTGGACTTAGCCATTTTCATGTATAACTAAAACATAACTTTTCTGGACTTTGTCATTTTCATGTATAACTAAAACATAACTTTTCTGAACTTAGCCATTTTCAAGCATTACCAGTATAAATTTACAAGATTTGGGGGTTATTTAATGGATACTACTTGACACCGACTTTTTTTTTTTTCAAAAATAACATTATAACTAAGTGTTAATTTGAATGAATTTTGATCATGTTCAAAATGGTTTTTTTTTTCAAACACTGCAGCAGAAAACTTTGTCAATTCCTGAACAATAATATTGTTTACTACCAGTGATCGACTTCTCATTCATAATAAATACGCTGTCCACAGCCAAGTCAAGTTCAACAGAAGGGATGTGAAATAAAATATTGTAAATTACATCTATATATGAGAATCTCTCTCTCTCTCTCTCTCTCTCTCTCTCTCTCTCTCTCTGTGGTGTTTGAGGGTGTGTACGCAGTACATGTCATGTGTGTGTAATAAATATTATTGTCTATTTAAATTGATATTTGTCATGTAAGTTTCAACTAAAGTTGAGAATAATTAATTTCTCTCTCTCTTTCTCTCTCCTTCTCTCTCTCTTAGAAAATATGTATTTATTGAGACCCTGATGAGACATAATATTTGTCTTGTAAATAATAATAATGCACTTACATCTGAAGTTGGGAATGAATATATTTCATAATTCTGGGGAAATATAAATGTACTGCAAGAGATATAAACAGTATGAAATGTAATCTCATGAAGTCATGTGAATTTTGCACGGATTCTTCGTGTGCAAAACTGTGTAAATTTCCCTATTGTTTTCTGTGAGACAGGTGTTTGTACTAGGTGACCTTTGTGGCCAACACATCGTAAATATTTCAGCTTGGGTATTACACAATCTCTGAATGGTACAATTCTGCACAGGTTGTTTGAAATCTGAAGAAAATCAGTCGTAATATGGGTGGCTAAAAAGATAAACAACAGCATAGAGTATGTGCATGTTCACGTTGAACAGATATTACGATGTTGTGAATAAAGACTGCCAGTTATATTAAGATTTAAGCAGATGACTAGTACATGTAGATTTTATTGTTTGCATAATTAAATAACCCAGTTATAATAGTTATTTTCACAAATAAACAAATATTAAATTCAAAATGGCGGCAACAAAAAATATGGCGGCCTCCGATGTCCGTTTTGTTGATACTAAGATAAATTCAAAATTTTAACACCAACTGGTATTTATATTTTTAATTTAAGTTTAAAATTAAACAATTAGGTTTATTTGCATATAAAATAAATCAATTATGAATTATTTATTTATTTTTTTCGATCACGTGACGTTTTTGAGCTCTATGATTGGTCAATAACAAGAGCGCGGATTTTTCCATGGACGATTTGAATGTTTGGATGTTGAAAGTGTTGATAAAAAAAGGAGATAAAACCAGTTGGTAAGGCGATATTTATGCTAACATTTTATTATTTTTGGTAAAGTATACTTAGTACCTCTGGCATAACATTCCAAAAAGAAGAAATATTGGGAATGAACAAAATTCTAGGCGTGTGAATCTTAGATTTCTTGTTTGTTTTGATTGGTATGTCGAATGACAAAGACTGAAGTAAACAAATTGAAAGTATTTGAAACGCATAATATTTTTCAGCATTTAGTATATTAATCAAATATGTTGTTCTTTGTCATATTTATTCCCACAATTGTTTATAGATTCCCTGAACTGTTAAAATATTGTGAAGCCTTATACGCATCAGCATGATCATAACATGATCTAGCTGCAACGTTAATTAATGCAATGAAATGAGTAATTTAACATTAATTTTCTTTTTTTTTGAAAGCAGAATATTGGTACATGATGTTTCCATGAGCTGAATCTGTCCTGACCTGCAGGAGTACATGAAATTCTTCAAAATATTACTTGTTTAAGGTAAAGTAAATTTTTTTTTCATTTCAAAATTCAATAAATCTTTCAATCTAAAACTGATTCCTGTAAGTATAGATCTTAAATTATTCTTGTATTTTCCATGTTTTGGATGAATTAATGAATTTGAATTAATTGATATGGAAGAGTGTTTTCAATTTGATATGCAAATGAGTGCTGGAAATATACTATCTAAATATCTATAATCTAAATTTTGAACCTTTACAATTTTTTGCAGAATTGAAGAAAAGGTTAAAATTGCAAGCATATTTCAATGAAAACTTAGCCGACTACCAGTCACACTGCCCGCCAGCCAAGACGTCTGACCAGCTAAAATGAGGGACGCAGACCACCAGCCAAGTCCCTCGGCCAGCTCGGCTGACCCAGTGCGGCCTGTCAAGGGATGACCAAGTCCATCAACTAGCTCGGCTGACTACCAGTGCAGCCTGTCAAGTCCTTCAACTAACTTGGCCTATTACCAGTGCGGCCTGTCATTGAACAACCAAGTCCATCAACTAGATTGGCTTACTACCAGAGCGGCTTTTCAAGGGATGGTCAAGTCCGTCAACTAACTTAACCTACTACCAGTGCCGCATGTCAAGAGATGGCCAAGTTCGTCAACTAGCTCGGCTTACTACCAGTACGGCCTGTCAATATAGGGACGGTTAAGACCGTTGACTAACTTGGCCTTCTACCAGTGTGGCTTGTCAAGGGACGGTTAAGTCCGTCAACTAACTTGACCAACTACAGATGCGACCTGTCAAGGGATGGCCAAGTCTGTCAACTATCTTGACCAACTACCAGTGCGGCCTGTCAAACGATGGCCAAGTCCTTCAACTAACTTGGCCTTCTACCAGTGTGGCCTGTCAAACGATGGCTAAGTCTGTCAGCTAACTTGGTCTACTACCAGTGCGGCCTGTCAAACGATGGCCAAGTCCTTCAACTAACTTGGTCTACTACCAGTGCGGCCTGTCAAACAATGGCTAAGTCTGTCAGCTAACTTGGTCTACTACCAGTGCGGCCTGTCAAACGATGGCTAAGTCTGTCAGCTGACTCAGCCAACTTTCAGTGCAGCCTATCTTCAAATAATAAAGATAAACAACTGTACACCTGCAAGGATACCTGTGCAAGGAGGGTGGTAGGCAGCTAGAAACTGTAACTGAAATCACTGTTTAGAACCTTTCTTTTTTTTGAAATACAGCTAGATCAAAAATAAATAGGGTGTTAATATTTAAAAATTAGTGATGTCTGTTTATACAATTAGCAAGAGTAGAATGCAGTTTGCTAGGTAATTTTACAAAGACCCTAATTGCTATATGCTAAAAATGTATTCTTTAAAACAACCAGAGAAATTTCAATCTTTTGTAGATGACATGATGAAAAAATAAGGTACACTTGAATTTTGAAAACAATTGCATGTGCATTCATTTAGTTGTATTTGACAATAAACCAAGCTATCTTTATCGTGTTTGTTAGGTAAAATTGTTATTGCCTTTAATATGTTTTAAATAATCTTTTTTGTATAAATTTCAAAAATCTTTTTTTTTTTTAAATTTTAATGAGTAGCTTTTTAAAAGCTTATAACTGAGTAAATCCACAACAGGTTAACATACAGTGCATAATTTCACTGGAACTTTTACGAAAGTTTTTATTAATAGGTATAACTTTTTATAGTTATAACTTTTTATAGTTATAACTTTTTGCAGTAATAACTTTTTTTAGGTATAACTTTTCTATAACTTTTTCATAACTTTCTTGGGGTATAACTTTTTTGTAACTTTTTCATAACTTTATAATAGGTATAACTTTTTTTAGTTATAACTTTTCCTGGGTATAACTTTTTGCGGGTATAACTTTTTTGTAACTTTTTCATAACTTTTTTGGGGTATAACTTTTTTGTAACTTTTCCACTGTTTATTTGGGTATAACTAAAGTATAACTTTGTAACTATTTTATAACTTTTTGTGTAACTTTTAATAAGTATAACTTTTTGTAGTTATAACTTTTTTATAACTTTTATGTACTTGCTGTATTTATGTTGAATAAAAGGTGAAAAGTTATGCAAAAGTTATAACTTTTTTGTAACTAAGTTATAACTAAATTATACCTCACTTAAAACATGCCATTCCAAACTCCGATAACTTAGTTATAACTTTTTTGTAACTTTTTTTAGTTACAAAAGTTATAACTAAGTTATAACTTTTTTCGGTATGGGTACTTACATTTGTTGGCCTTGTTCTCGCGGTACTTCCTGTACTTGTATTCATCACTGTCCTCGTCGTCAATCACAAGGTCCTCCTTCCTGGGTTTAGGGACACCAATGGTGCTTGTGGACAACCTGAATTATAAAATGCAGTTCTACAATACTTTTTTTAATCATTGCTTTAATTACAAAATTCTGTCCTTTCCAGAACAAATATGTATTCAAATCCAGTGTACATGTATTTAGGAAATATTTGTGGAAAAGCATTGGACAGTCATGTGTATTGTAAGAAATTTGCCAATCCTCTTTTATTTCTGAACATTGATTTGTTATCATAAAAAAATATTGCTTATATGCATCTGATTTCCATTCTTACACAAAGAAATGTTGATTTCATGAACAAAAATTGACATTTCCCTTAACTTTTATGCATCACCTTGCTCATACAAAAATTCATTAACTGAATCACATTTCAGATGTTAACAATGTATCCCCTTATATTCCCTTACTTATTATACTGAGCGAGGGTGTTGATGACGTCAATCAGCTGTCTGATCCTGTTACAGAAACTGTCCATGTGTGACATGATGGCGTCCTCGTCAGCGATCGACACGCCGTGACCAGCGTCATTAGTCATCAGCGATGATATCCCCTTCTTAGGAGACACGGACGGGCCCGATCTGGAGGCATTGCTTGGTTTGGATCTGAAATTAAAAGTTATTTTTCATCATACAGTTTAACTTGTCTTGCTTTCTTATAAGCATTTCCCATTTGAAATACAGCATGACACTTCAAGTGTAAAAATTAAATCAAACAGGTATTGAATTATCTGTACATGTACCAGTACAAATAAAACATAAGAATTCCATAAAGCCATTTAGTATACAATAATTCCCTAAAACCATTTACAATTAAACATATTTTATTAAAACAGTAATTAATGTCAATAATTAATCAGAAGAAAGAAGAATTAATTAGAAGAAGGACCTGGTGGTGAAGCTGCCTGGTCCCCCCACACTGCTGAGGGAGGGGAAGTGGGACATGTTGTTGGTCTGTCCCAGGGAGTCTCTAAGTGACCTCAGGGTCTCCCTGTAGTAGCCCTGCAGGGTCAGACACGCCTTCAGTCTCCCGTACAAACTGTCGTCCTGTAACCCCAGATCTTTACCTTCCTTTGTTTTTCCTCTCGTCAGGGCCCCTTGTTGCTGAAATAATTTAATTCAAAATTAAACAAATTTCTTGGTTTTTTCATGTACATATTTGTACAGCTGGTCTGCTCTGTTAAAATCAATTAAAAATAAAACTTTAACATTATTTAAATTTCAGGATCTCCTTTGACTTGTCACCTAATATTCTTGGAAATTCAATCAGCTCAAAACAGAAATATTTATGTACTTACCTGCATTTCAACAACATTAAAATTTATACAATATACAAGAAATAAATCAACACAACATTTAGTGCATTAAAATAGTATAAATATTACACATCAAAATAAAACATTACAATTTTTATGCTCACATTAAAAGATCTTCATTACTTAGAGTTTACCTTAATTTTAGCCTCTACTTGGTTCCTGAGCAGCCTCTGCTGGGGGTCCACGAGGGGCAGTGAGTCCCTGTTTCTGATCTCCTCCTTGATCCTGACCCACAGTTCGTCCCCATCGTAGGCCGTGATGGTACAGTTCTTAATGTACTCCTTACAAGCCAGCACCAGCTGATTGGTGATCTTGGTAAAAACGATACCCAGAAAACCGGTCCTCACGTAATACCGGGAGATGGAATCCATCTGGCGCACGCTGTTGACGATGCCAGGGATGGCGTTGTTGATGATGGAGGCCGGTGTTGCATCCTGGTATAGCTGGTCGAAATGGCGTCTCAGAGATTCCAGGTATTTGACCTTGTCTTTGGTGTCATTCATCGCATCAGTGATCCTGTGATACAAACAGTAATTCTGTTAAATGTTTTTTGATGGAAAAGTTTGCAGGGGCAGCAGGAAATAATCTCAATTGTTTTAGTTTACATCCTTAATATTTATTGCTCTTAAAATGGTTGAATAAAAAGTCTGTTTAGAATGAAAACTTTATAAATTAAGTAAAGTTAGCACCGATTGTAGAAGAGAAATTCATTTACATTTCTATCCACCTTAGAAATAACCAGCAATCAATAAGTTCAAAATATGATTGATAACAGAGAACAATGGTGCAGCTTTTACAAAATATTTGAATAATTACATTCAAATCACATTATTTAAAACTCAATTAGGACATAGTTTGAAAGTAAAGGGGTTCAAGACACTGACTGTAATCAAATTACATAAAGAAGCTTGAGACTTCCAATCCATGGTACTCCAGATAATTTGGGTAAATTTGTGATATATAAGTTTAGCTGCACTTACTGAGCATCCACATTTTTCCATTTCTTCAGCAGCCTGGATTTGGCAGTTATCAAGACACCAATCACAGCTTTGCATTCTTTACTTTTGAGCTGTTCTGTAATGCTGGTCAGTAACCGTTGACGCCGCCGCCATCTTTCCAACTCCGAGAGTGGCCCAGCATTTGGATCCATAAACCTAAAATAAACGCCACGAAAATTAATCATTTAAGATTT